TGATACCAGGAATCGGTAGTGAAAATAATAACAAAATAAAGAAATCAAACAACGTTGCCCGTTGTTCTGCTTACTATAGCTGGAATTCTTGAACATTCATTTAATCTGATTAAATCAGAAAAAAACGCGGATCAAGTCTCAATATCACCTCAAACTCACCAATCCCTAAATTTATTCGAATTCTTGCTGAAGATATAAATTCTAGAATTAGCATAAATATATTCTCAAGTTCGGTCACTGAAGAAGGACATGCATTGATTGAAACCAGTCTTTGCTAACTGACGAAACTCCACGTGAACTTCTAACTACAGTAGAAAACAATTCATAACGAAAAGAAGCATTCGCCAAATTTCGCGGACGAGATTCAAGCCTTTTTGAAATTATAAAGTTTGCGTTTCTATATGTGTAGATTCTCTGTTAATGACCTCAGTTGTCATTCTCAACATTAGCTTCTCACCACGCGTGTCGAAAATGAAACCCTTTCTCGGAAGTGTGCCATGGAATGAATTAAAGCCGTCAGAACGGCATCTAAATAATGGTCACACGACTTCGATTAATCATTCCTCAGCCCATTTATTTATATTTTTCAAACGCTCGACTCTTATTTATGTTGTGAATGGAACCCAATCGATGTCGCTTACACTCAGGACCTATTAGGGGGAATGACTACTTTCGAAAATTCTTTTAATTTTTTTTTATCCCAGAAAAATAAAAGCGAGTTTTAAAGAAGTGTAAAACAAAATACGGAATCATTTCCTTAGCAAAAGAAAACCCTGCTTGAAAATCCTCTTGAACTGTTTTCTTCTCCTATATTTTCATGAAATTAAAGAATCAGGATTTTTTGGGGCACTGAACTTTAATTCCAAGATACGGTTCTGTTGGAGTTTTTTTTTAATTGAGGCCATCTTTCCCAAACCTTCAAAATTTGCATGATTTCCGGAATTTTAAAGAATTCTTTCCTGCTGCATCCCACCTCTAGAATAGTTTTTTATGATCTCAGACAGACATCTCTTATCTTTTTTTGTGGTGTGGAATCATTTAATTTAACCAGCTGTCGAAGCAAAACTTCCGGATTCAAAAAGCAAGGTCTTTTTTCTTCCAATGCTATACAGTATTTGAAGGACGGGTAAAGTGAAGCCTTTCAAGGTTCTTGGAATGTTCTGGGTATTAATTAGTACCCAATATCAGCATAAACCGGACGAGGAAATGCGTCCTTCACGCATTGATAGAGATTTGCTATTTCATTTGGAATCCCGTTCATGTGATCAGAAGTATGCTTTTGCTGAAAAATATTTATATGCGTGCAAAGTTCGCTCTTTGAATTTCGTTATTTTTTCCATACCCCAAAAAAAGGGGGAAGATGTTCGAGGAAAACATGCCTGTACCGAAATAAAATTAATTTAATTTAATTTGTCCCGGGAACTTTCCAGCAACTGGTTCTCACACTCTCGGAAAATATTATTCTGCTTCGAAATAACAATCACCAGGTCCACAACTGAATAATTTCCGATTTTTTATTTATTTAAACTTCTGAAGAATGGTGTTTTTGTATTTTTCAAAATCCAATTCAGCACGAAATCTCGATTGGTTGTCAAAATCTTCGAGTCAGTGCTCTTTTATAGTCAATTATCTTCGGTCGCACCGCAGTGTTTTTTTTTTTTTTTTTTTTTGATTTGTTTAAGGGAGACCTGAAAACAAAAATCTACACTACCCATGTTTTCCTTTGATAAGGGAACCACTGTGGAATGGCTATGAAAAACCTCCACCCTTCTGGTCAGAACACCTTGGGATTTTTTTTTGGACCAGACAGTGGTCCGCGTACCCCCTGGCAAGCACGCGCGTACCCCTTGGGGTACGCGTACCACCGGTTGAAAAGCCCTGACTTAGTGAATACCCCATCAAATTGATTCATGCAGCATCATGCACTGGAGGAACCAGTTTTTTCCTGCTACACTGCCTCTGGAGTCTAGCATGAGATATGTATGTACAATACCCTTGAAGTCACTCATGATTCACCCCCCCCCTCCCCCCGAAAACAGAGGGATGTGGGTTTGCATTGGAAGTGACTAGGGGGAGCACAGAGTCCAGCAATTAGGAACAGTTTTGCTCTGGGCCTGTCAGTAGTTTTTCTGCTGTCTAATAAGTTACTTGTGAAAAATTATTTCCTCAATCCAGAACTGACCAATTCTTAGTTTTCAGATTACTCTCATTTACAGGATATTGAGGATTTGTTCATCCTGGGGCTTTAATTATGAAGAAACTGAAACAAGTCATTCCCATACTCTTAATATTTATGGTAGTAGCAAGTTCTTATTATTACAAGCATTTTGGGAAACTTCATGAGATCAAACAAAACCCAAAAATGCAAAAGTGTCTCAGTGTTTTTCACACCAATGGAAGCCTGACCAATGATCTCCAATGGGAATTGGCACATTGCAAGCTCAAAAAGAGATTGAAGAAAAGTGACAATAAAAAGTCTTGTTTGAAACAAAGACACATTCACAAGCTCAGCAACCAGTTTCTCTTCTTTGGAGACTCCACAGTGAAGGCAAAGGCAATGGCCCTGGCAAAATTCTTCAAATTTTTTCAGGAACCCTGCACTAAGAATTGCACTTTCAAAATGGTCCCAAATCTGCATTGGGAAGATGAAGCATCTTCCACTAAAATCTACTTTCTCATGAACCCCTACCTCAACCCATATTTCGAGGTAAGTTGGCTTGGATTTGTTCATTCAGTGAGTCCCTGTAGTATAACAAAAAAAATTATGTGAACAAATCTTTGCTTTCAAAAAATTTGTACAGTATTGCCAAAAAGTGACTCAGATGAAAATAAGGTATGTTAATTTAAAAGTAAATGGTCCTGAAAGAATTCAATCAATTTTATTCAGGTGTTTGATATAATTGAAGCCTTTCATTTTGTCCCAGACCAAACAAACATTTTGTTCAGGATAAACGACAAACGGAAGAAATGTTAGCCACTTACTGCTTATCCACATAATGTTTTCAAATTTGAAACTTTGAGAGCTTGAATTCCAGCACTAGTTGAAAATACTTTTTTCTCAGCAAAAACAATGGTGATTTTGCTAACTTTCCATTATTTATGAGAGAATCAGCACCTCATTTCAAGCAGAAATTTCCAGAAAGAAATTAATGCAACTCAAAATGAGCTAAAATTGATCATCCATTATTCAAAATTTGCAATTATCTTTAGTGTGAAAAAAACCAATTACTTTCTTCATCATTTGAGTCCATTGAAGTAAAAAATTTAGTTTGTGGTTAATAACCTCATGCCTGGTATTGATCAGGTTTGTCAGCCAAGAGTTGATTGAATATTTTTACAGAAAGAATATTTCACCTGTGAAGATCTAATCGACTTTGAATCAATGAAATAGATACCAAATGGCACTCAAACTGTCTTGTTTGGAGGCTCAGTCTGGTTCACACGGCCTCCAGAAATCTTTGCTGGAGTGTCAGAGCCATACTATGACCTGAAACACCTTCCAATCCCAAAGAAATTGGAAATACACAGAATCAGATTCAACCAACTACTGAAAGAGCTCACTGAATACTGGAAAATAGAAACCATCATATGGATTCTACCTGAACCCATGCGTGGAAAATTAGCTCAATACAACCACTTCTTGGATGCTTTTGTCCAGCAGAGCCTTCAAGTGTTGTCCAAGTATGAGGACAAGGTGGTCATTTGGTCCAGCTGGGCCATGTTCTTCCAGCAGCTGGAATCCAAGGGCCTTGGGAACATCATGCCTGATGGTCGCCATGTGAAAGAAGAATTTCAGCTCCCTGGGATGCAACCCCTGTTGAACTTTTTGTGCAACCCAGTGGATCCAAGTGTTGATTCACAATTTTGCTGTCACAATAATGTAATTGATTCTGTGGTAAAAAAAAAAATTCCAGCTTGAAAAATAACCATTAAGGGGCTTCTTATCAACTGTATTCAAGGTCTCAATGGGCCATTTTTTTTAGCATCTGTGAGCACTCATGAACAGCAAGATTTTCTCAGCTTAATAAAGAAACTCAAAACGATTCATGCATTATTCTGCTGCAGTGATTGATTTTGTGAATGAAATATATTTTGAGTGGAAAAAACAGCACTTGTCAAGTATATAGTACTCTATAGTATGTGAACTGTATACTTCATATGTTATGCTGGGTACTTAATGTATTGGAGAGAAGCAATAATACAGTGCTGTATATATATGTGGCCCTAATTGCATAATTTGGGCATGCTGCATGGAGGCTGAAAAAGTGGGCAGTATGATATTCTGGCAAAAAGTGCTTCAAGGGATGAAGAAAATTGCAAAGATAGATGTATAATATGCCTCACTTGTTTCATACACAGCGCTGACAAGGTGTATTGTATAGTGTATTACAAATAAGTGAGACATTACAAGAGCTTTTTTTTTTTAAATAAAACTGAACACTTCAAAGATGTATTCAAACGCACATTTATTGACTCGTAAGTCCGTCAAATATTACGTAATTTTTCTCTGTTTTAATACAGTTTAAATAATATCAAATCGCAAAGGACTTTTTTTAATGAAACAAGAATTGTTGTCCATCTTTGAGTTCTATATGTACTGTATATCTTTGCATGGAGTGAACAACCAGATTATGGTTAAGGTACCTTCATGTCTCCCGGCTGCGTAGATCTGATACTCGCTGGAGGCGGATTTTAATGATCGTTTCTCCATCTGTCGGTCCGAAAGTTTCGCGGTATGTGTACTCTGAATTTTTTGCTATGGAGAAGTAAATTATCATGGAACAGATGCGCCCAAATCCGTTCATATCTTCAAGTGGATGTCCGTGCAAGATTCGCGTTGTTGACGCGTTCGTTTTCAAACGGTAAACTCTACGAGCATGTCCGCGCAGTTCCATCATCTCGTGTATCCAAATGTGACCGTTTCCGATGCCTTGAGTTTCTTCCAGTTGCGAACGTGCTTATCCATTTCTCGAAGGGTGATTTCTTTCGTTCCCTCTTACAGGGATTTCCTCGATTTGAGCTCCAGAAAGTCATGACTCAACGTGGTTTTATGTAAGTACTGTAACTTTTGCATCTTGTTTCGCAACTTGTCTCATAGTTAGCGGTTTCATGATCAGTTTTATGTATTCTCTAACCACCTTGAAGTATGTTTCTTGAATGAATGCGAGGAGCATACGCATGTCGCGTGAAATGGGTCAAAATTAATCGCCTCCAAAGTTGAGAACCGTCAGTTTCCGAATGCTGTTGTGGTTTGAGCGAGGGCTTAACGAGTAATTCTTCTCAAATTAGCGTACGAAATGTTTGGGGTTCTTGCAATGGTAAACGGTTACCGCATTGAAATGAGGCTTACAAATGCTTCGGGGTCCTCTATTCTTTTACTCGAAGACCTGTTCCCGACATCTTGCGTAATCGTCAAGATGTTGGAAACTCGTCGACTGTGTTTTCCAAATTTTTCTTGCACGGGTCGGCAAGAATTTGTGAATTGTGACTCCAATTTCAGTGAGGTATTGTGAACTTGCCTGATTGCTCGAAAAGCAGTCGCTTGGGGAGCTCGAGACTCAACACGAAAATTCTTCCATCCAGAGCGTCGTGGTGAAAAGTCGACAGAAGGTTTTTTTATTTAAAGAGCCACTAGTAGACTGGGATTACATTCGTGTATCCTTCCCAGTCATGGATTACGGTGAGTATGTGATTTCCGATCATTTTGCATGTCCATGCTTTAAGGGCTCTCACTGGGGGTATTCTCGATTTTTCCGTGTGTTTCCTGGGCTTCTTTCTTGAGGTTTCGACCACCCGAAAAGCTGGGTCTTTTTCCTCTGATCCTGAACATCAATTGCATAATCAATCTCTCGCAATTACTTCGATTCGGGCCTTATTCCTTCGATATCATGAATGTTGACCAGAGACATATCCTAGAAAAGATAACTTTAACGTAGAGTAATTCCTAACTCTTCAACGGATGAAGATGAAACATCAGGGAAGTGTGATGCCTTTCTTTTCACGGTGAAGTAATAGAAGGACATTACTGAAGTATTTCGTGCCTGAAACGAAGTGCCAAGTCATTAATCACGCTGTTCCCGTTTTTCATTAACACTCGTTTTATAGTCGGTGGAGACTTTCCGTTAATTATTCCACGTGGCAGTGTTCACGTACCACCTGCCGGGTGGTACCAAGTACTACCGGTGGATGCGTGTCGTGGGTTAGAAAAGCCTGATTCGAGTACTTGTATGAAATTACAAATGCGTCTGATTCTCTCGTGGTGGTTGAATGACCTACAGTATTTTCAACTTTGTCCAGGAACGTGGTGTGAACTGACTAGACTTCGCGACATTTTTCATGAGCAAGTCTTGGTCGTTTAGAATTAGATTGAATTAATGGGATTAGGGAATTAATGAAAAAGGTTTGCAAAATTTTCCACTGGACAATTTTTCGTCTCACGTTAGGACTATGGATGTGAATTGCGGAAATTATCCGCCGGTGAGTTCGAAATGTTGGGATCTGTCGGGATATTGTCGAGAAATCGTGTGTCGGTACTTGAAAGTAGTACAGTACTGAAATGCCCTCATTTTTATTTTTGCCCGAAAAGTGTGTATTTACGAGACTTGGGGACTCTGGGAGATAAATCTGTCGTTTCAAGAGGCTCCTCGGGTCAGAAAACAAGTTAATTGAGTATCACTGATTGAAATGCCTTGATGTTGAACGTTGAACCTCTTTATCAAAGGACCGTCATGAAAATTCGAGTTGGGGAAACGATCATTTTTGTTCGTGGGAAAGCGAAAAAAATTGCAGAAAATCGTAATCGGTGATTTTCTGGGTCTTCAATTGATTTTTAAATGAGTTGACGGTATGCTCTGAACTTCGAGGCAAGGGCTCATTTGCCCAATTAGTCTTTCACTTTAATAACGAATTATTGAGGTTTTGCTGTGAGTGACGTACTTTTTTATATATCTGAAAATTTGACGCCGTGAAAATTTCATTTTTCCGAAAACAGATCGTCGCCGTTCCTCTGGTGGTCGAGGTCGCGGCCGACCTTTCCAGTCCCAGTCCCGCTACAACTCTTGGGGCAACTCTTGGAACTCTGGCCACAACAACTACTACAACAGCAACAAGAACAACAACAACAACAGCAGCAGCTACAACCAATCCCCTCACTATGGATTCTACGGCCCGAGGGACAATCTTCCGGAAAGAGTCGCCCCGCCGATGCCGGTGGAACGCACTATCCCGCCGGAAGATGACCGGGAGTTGACGGAGGCCGAAGCTCAAAGAGCGTATCAGATATCGAATAGCCTGTCGGCCGTCATGTCGTCGTTGAGCGAGCGGGCGAGTGGTCACACGACGGACAGGAGGCGCCGGCACCACGACGGCTGGAGGCCGCCGTTGTCGAGCGGTACGGCGGCGATTCCGACGTGATCGTATTCCACGAAAAATGCGAATGCAATAGAGTGTCGTTACATTCGAAGTTTTTAGCGTAACGAAACTCTTTTTCCCCGAGTCCTGACAGAAGTCAAGTGGGGTACATGCTATGAAAAATCTTGTTGCAACCTTAGATCTTTTTTCATTCCTTGGAGACTCCATGCACTCTTGAGACAAAGTGCTGTGAGACCCCAAGATGCGGATGTAATTGGCGCATCAAGAGTGTCCCTGAGTTGAGTCTCATTTTCCCTTAGACTTGCATTATATAATTTTTTAATTGGTGATTTTCTGGGCCTTGAATTGCTTCTCGAATGAGTTGTCACAATATTGAACTTGGAGGCACAGGTTCGTTTGCCCAATGAATCTTTCACTTCCTTTCAAACCACATCAAGTAAGCATTTTATTTATGTACAAAATACTCACCATAATTCCATGAAAATAAAAATTGTCTCCAAATTTACACTGATTCAATCAATATATTTCAAAACATTATGCACATTTGGGGAATTCAATGCTGATACCTCTGTACAGTACATAGAAATGTTGGCATTCTCTGTAAAAATAACATTCAAGTGAAAAAAAGCAAAGGAAGTCCCTCTATGCTGGAGGTAATATTTTTAAATCAGCTAAATGGATGTTAAATTGGTGAGAGAAATGCCAAAGAAATTTTCTTACATCAATTTTAGCGTTGGGAATATATGTTTCTTGTAATTTGGCCTGAAGTGAAATGTATTTGCAATTTCATCACAAAATGTCCCTATGTTGTGTCAGTGTCCTCATGTTGGGCCTTTTTTATAAATTTTTTATGGGAAAATAAGTGTCCCTATGTCAAATTGTCTGTGGGTCACGGTGTCCGCATGTGGGGGTCTCACTGTGTAACTTTTTGAGCTGACCCACCGCTTGCATTTGTGTGAATGCAGTAAAAGTAAACAAAAATACTTTATAACAAAAACTTTTCGTGCAGTTATTGACAAAGGGGCATTTCCGACACCAAAGAAAAGGCTCAGGTTCATGGACAACCTTTATTGCACCATTTGCAACATCGATTTGACCAGTGAAAGCGTGATGGAAGCACATATCAAAGGCATGCGGCATTTGAAGGTACGTTTTTTGTGTTGGAATACACTGTGTATCTATGTTTTGTGCATCCCTGATTTGAATGAAATTGAATACCGTATTTGACAAAGTTTTCATTGTCGTGAGCCTCGAATTCCATCCGAGTTTTCGTTTCTTCTCTCATTTTGGAATTCTTTGGCTTCTGAGTACAGTTGAACCTCGAAAATATCGAATGCATATTCAATTCAAATTTTTTCGAGTCCATCTTTGGAAAGAATGCATTAAAAACCTCCCTAACTCGAAAGCCTTCTCACTAAAAGCCTCCATTAATTGAATTTTCTAGGTGGCCGTTTTTGCTATTACTTTATTGAAACGGAAAAGAGAGAAGCAATAAAAATGCTTACTTGATGTGGTTTGAAAGGAAGTGAAAGATTCATTGGGCAAACGAACCTGTGCCTCCAAGTTCAATATTGTGACAACTCATTCGAGAAGCAATTCAAGGCCCAGAAAATCACCAATTGCAATTTCCTGCAATCCTTCTTTCTTTCCCCCACAAAAAAAAATGTTCGCTTCCCTGACATCGAATTTTCATGCTGTTTCTTTCATTTGTTTTCGTAAAAAAAAAAAAACATATCGTTGCAGAAATCCATGAATTTGCGGCAAATTGACCCAGTGCGAGCCCAGGAGCTGGAAAACGCGGGGTTCAGTGGGGTCACGGACAGGCCGGCATTTGGAGGCAAGAGACGAGCCCTGGGGAAACCCGGGGCCCTGGCCAAGTTGTTGGAGGACTCGGAACATCCGATCATTGGTGCTGAATTCCTCGAAGAATACTCTGCCAATCCGGACTCCAAAATTGAGCCCGTGTATTATTGCACGTTGTGCTCGGCGCATTCCTCGTTTGAAGTCATGTTCCAGCACGTTATTGGGCAGAAGCATCGAATGAAATACCTGGTGATTATGATGCTATTTTTAGTCCTTGGAATGGGGCTCGTGGTGATCAATAGTGTGGAAGTGGTGAAAGAAAAGGAAAATTTTGAATGTGAGGAGGAAAAACGTGCCGGAATCTGGAGATTTTTTCCTTCGTGCGTTTCTTCAGTGTTTTTCGATTTTTGAATCCGAAGAGAAGTGTCCTCGAAAAAGTGTAGTGAACCCACTTTTTTTTGGCAGTGAAATTAATACAGTGTTGAAATTTTTGCACTAATGCCCCCAGAAAGGAGATACACAGTGCTTCAATTATATCGTACGTTTCTTTAGCGTGCTTAGGTTTTTGATTTGGAAGATGTGTCTTCGAAAAGAGTGGAGAAACCCGTGAAATTTATACATTTTTGAAATTTTTGCACGAATGACGCCAGAAAGAAGATACGCAGTGCTTCAATTATTTCGTACGTTTCTTTAGTGTGCTTCAGGTTTTTGAATCAGAAGAGTGTCTTCGAGAAAAGTGGGAAACCCAGTTAAATTCATACATTTTTGAAATTGTTGCTTGAATTACCCCAGAAATGAGTGCTTCAATCATTGAGTACGTTTCGTTAGTGTGCTTCAAATTTTGAGTACGTTTCGTTAGTGTGCTTCGAATTTTGAATCGAAATAGCAGAAGAATGAGTTCAAAAAATTTGGAAACCTTGTGAAACTTATGCAGTGTTGGAATTTTTGTATTTCCTCAATAATTTTTTTTTTTCAAAATATCGTAATGCGGGAATCGTTGGAATGTATGTATTTCCTCAATCAAGAAAATTTTTTTCCAGTGTTGGAATTTTTGTATTTCCTCAATCAAAAAAAAAAATTTTTGAATATCGTAATGCGGGAATCCGCTAAAATGGCGGATTGACGTTTTGCAAATGTTCCCGTGTTTTTTTTAAAGTTTTTCAAGAACACAAAAAACTATATCGTTCTTTTCTTAATTCGAAAAACTTTTTTTTGGCGCGTGTCATTCGTAACGCGATGACCCGAACCACTATATTTTCAAATTCCAAATTCACGACGTTGGGTATTAATTTTTTCTATTAATTTATTTTCAGGAATTGAAGCTTGGAGTTCCTGTATCGAAGTGCATGGTGAAGAGCGAGGCAGCCAAGATGGAGCGAGAGATGGGCAGGCAATTGGGCAAGATCAAAACCATCTCCGGATTGACAGCGATGCCGGATTTCACCAAGTTGAAAGCTGAGAAGAACGAGTCGTCACTGAAGATATCGATGAAACCAGACTCTGGGTCATCTTTCGTGCGTGTGAAGAAGGAACCCACGGATCCCAACAGTGACGACGACGACGTGTGAGTTTTTTCATTTTTTTCAAAATCAACCGACACCATATTCAACCATTTTTCTCAAAATTGAGTGGAGGAAAAATGGTATGCGCGTCAGAAGCGCAAATGAAATTGTTGAAAGGTTTTAAAAATTCAGATGAGTATTAAACTTCATTCTAGTGGGAAATTTTGGACCACGTTGGAAGAGAAAAAAACTCTATTTAATCGATACCATTGAAAAATCGAGATGGATTGTACATTTGAAATAGATTTTAAATTCTATTTATTTTTCGCTTATTTTTATTTTTTTCTTCCGCAGAGTGGAAATAATCGATGCGCCGAAATGCGATCCCCCGGTCGTCGACATTGGCCAAGACACAGTTTCCAGTACGGAAGTGGAGAAGCAGGAAGCGGAAGTGTGTGATTCCGCAGAAGCTCGGACGACGGAACCGGAAGACGAGAATTCCGTCGGCACTTCGGAAGAGGTTCAATCGTCCCCGAAGGCGAAACAGGAGAATGTGGTTCACGGCGTCCCGGAAGCATCGACTTCCGTCTTTCAAGACCCGGAAAACGAGAAACCCTGTGGGAAATCCGGGCTCGGGCAGAGCCCCTATGCTGATGTTATTGGCAGTCTGGTAAATAAAAATTTATGCAAAAACTTGGGCAGAATGCTGAATTTATGCAAACACTGTATTTTAAAGTACAATTCTTCAAACTTTCCATGCCAAAATTTAGATATACAGTCAACCCCCGTCTAACGGACTTGATTTGTGCAAGAGACAAGTCTGTTAGACAAAAAGTCCTTTACACGAATTCAATTACATAAAAAATGAAAAATTTCAATTTTCAACACAAATTTTGAACCAAAAGAAGTCTGTTGGGCGGGAAGAAAAACTGCTTGCAGAGCTGGTCTGTTCGGCAAAAATCCCTTACACGGGAGGTCTGTTAGGCGGTGGGCCACTGTACTGTACATAGTTGAACCTCTCCAAGTCAAATTTCAAGGGACCAGCAAAAAAATTCTACTTGGGGAGGTTTTGAATTATGGAGGTTTGAGCTACAATACAAAGCTCTTTTGCTCTGGGAAGCATAGAAAAATTGCCCAAAATTGTAAATGGTGGTATTTGGGGGCTTAAATTGCTTCTTGAATGAGTTGAAAGGATGCAGAACTTGAAGGCAGTGGTTCATTGCCCAATTAAGTCTTTCAATTCCTTTTAGAACACATCAATTTCTGTATTATAGTACTGTATATTCTGTCTTCTCTCAAGAAAATAATAGCCAACAGGCCACAGAAAATTTGACTTACGGAGGTTTGAAGGGAAAAGCCTTTGACTTGAAGAGATTTTTAATGTATTGTTTCTAAGGGGATTCAGATGGGGATTGAAAAAATTTGACTTTGGGGTTATTTGACTTGTGGAGGTTTGAGTTATCAAGGTTCACCTGTAAAAAGACAATGATAGATATGGATTTAGATGAGGACTCGTGAAGCCCTTGATTTACTGAATTTCTGGCTAAACCAGGAGGTGATGGATTTAAAATTAGAAAAATTGTCAGTGTTCCAAGTTTTCCCACCAGTCACAAAAAATTATTTTAAAAGAATCAGAGAAAAAGAAATTTTTCTATGAGTCCCCATGCTACAAACATCCACATTACAAAACATTTTCATTGAAAAAAGTGACTCGCGGAACCAAAATATTTCACATGACGATTTTTTGTTGCCAAAATACCTTCAAATTTTGAGTATTGACAATACTGTATTTGGGTTTCTACAAAAACTGAGGAAAAGGACAAAAATGGGCTCAGTTTTGCTCCTGTTTGTCTTAGGAATTATTGAAACTTCGAAAATCAGAGCATAAACTGGCCAGAATTGCGAAAATTTAATGCTACTCGATTTCTTGCAAAAAAGAAAGAAAAATACAATTTTTAAAGATTATTACTTGGTGTTTATGCGATGAGTGTCTGGAACAAAATGAAATTGTTCATAATGTGTAACCTTGAGGGAAATTGCGTTTCGGATCAGTAAAATTCTTCTTGAGATTTTTTTTCCCATTTTCGTTGTGCGGGGATCCACTGTAATTCTTTTGTCGGGCTTTCTTCATCACCGATTGATTGATTTTTTTTTGTGTTTTTGTCATTCAGATTGGCTGCACGATCAAAAGTATGAGTGATCTACACTTGGCTGTGAACGTGTGTGGAAGTCTGATGGTGAACCTCTTGTGCTGGCATCAGGAAGACGAAGTCAGCGATGATGAGGCCGAAGCGAAACGACAAAAGCCCGAAGTTATTCCCGTGAGAGTCTCTCCATATTTTCTTTTTTTTGGATTGTTCAAAAATTCGAATAACTATTGGTCTTTTTCTTTAATTCTGCGCACAGGTTGTGAATTCGATTTTGGATAATATCAAACGCTACACCGACTTGTTGGAGTTGGACGAAGTGCTGGACCTTGTGAAGAATCGGAAATTGTGGCCGGAACCGCAGATCACGGCGGAAAGTCTAGTGGAGAAACTTTTGGAGCGTGTCGGGGATTGTGAAAGCTCAGGTTTGTGATTTGGAATCCGCAGTGGATTTTGAGATGAATCTTCTGAAGTCATTCCAGTGAGCAACGAACTACGGTACAGTAGTTACATGACGAACCCGGGTTCGGACGCCCTTTCGTCATAAACAAATAATTCGACTGGGGGGGTGAGGGAATAAACCCCAAGTCAAGTGGAAAAACCAAGCAAACGTTCTTCACGAATTTCCAAAAAGATAGAAAATTTTATGATTTAGAGACTGATGATTAAAAATGACCCTTTTTTCGAAAAGAAGATGTTGCCTGAGTTGCATCAGGATATTTTACGGAAAATAAAGGGTGCGATTTCTTGAACCGTAACAACGCGAATTTTGTTTTTGTTTTTTTGTTTGAAGGTTCTCATAAATTCGAAAATTAATTTTTATTCCGGAAGAAAAAATCCTTTAAAAATACTGTGATTATTCGTGTTGAGTATTTATTGTTGGAATGATTTGCTTAGGAATCTGGTCTCATCCGGACGCCGAAGAAGATGTTTTACGAAGCCTGGAGAAGCTGACTGAGCGCCTGCGGTTATCAATCAACACTCGTCGTCATCATCATCAACAGGAACATCGTCACGTCGTCGAACCCAGCAGTCATTCATCGCCGCCGCCACCACCACCGACGCCGGTCGGCGTGTGGAAAAGCGAACCGGCGCCTTCGAGTCCCGATTGCTCCGACGCGTTCGGGCCACTGACGACATCTGCGTCGTTGCCACCGGCAGATGTCGCTGCCGTCGCGGCGGCGTCGGCTCATCATTTCCCTTACATTCCGTCGCCGTTGGACCTTAATGTGGCTTTTAGTCCAGTGAGTCCGGACGAGCCGACGGGAGTGGTTTTTGATGACGCGTTTATGTCGTGTTTGGGGTCGCCGTCTGCGAGCCCGCCGGTCGGCGTGGGGTTGTACGGAATGGCGTCTTCGTCGGCGGCGGCGACGGCGGCGGTGTCGTCTGGCGGCTTGCTGGGCAATAACAGCATCTCGGATATTACGAAGGCGGATGTGGATTACTCCATGGCGGATTGCTGGGGGCAGAGGAATCATCTTCTTGCGCATATGGACATGGTTGGAATTATTTTTTTGGTCGTTTTATGAGACGTTTTGAAGTTTCTGAGCCAATTTATTAGCCATTTTTTAACAATTATTTTCACATTAGAGGAAAGGGTTATACATGAGTCGAATTTCAAGGGAGCAGCAAAAAAATTCGACTTGGGGAGGTCTTGAGTTTTATAGAAGTACTGTATAGATGTTTTACTTATGGCATAAATCATTTTTATTGTGGGAAACATGGAAGAATTAGACTAAATTGTACATTGTGATACTCTGGGCCTCGAGTTGCTTCTGAAATGAGTTGACAGGGCACTCAACTTGGAGACAGGGGTTCATTTGCCTAATTTAATCTGTCAAATTCTGTCAAAGCACATCAAATTCAAATTTTGTATTGTTTTTCTTTTTTCCTGTTTCAATAAGGTAATAACCTTAAAGGCCTCACAATTTGACTTGTGGAGGTTTTTGAGGAAAAGCCTTTGAGTTAAGGAGGTTTTTAATGCATTATTTCTAAAGAAATTCAGACGGTGACTCAAAAAAAAATTTTTGACTTAGCAAGGTTCAACCATATAAATTTTTTGTGTGTGTTGGATTCCTCTCTAAATTACTAGATGTGAAATGTTTCTGTGTCAGTTTGATGGTGATTTTGTTTAGTGGTGAAGCAGAGTTTAACAGCTGCTGTTTGCTCAGAAATTGCAATTTAGTGCAATATTCAAAAGCATAGTCTTTCAAGCATTATATTTCAAGAGTCAGCATATTTTCTCAATTATAACACCATTCTCAGTTCTGGGGAATTCTTTTAAAGATAATTTTTGCTTACAGTAAATTCTTATTGCAAAAATACCATTGCTACGCATTTTTTCAGTGCAGTTGAACCTTGATTGAACCAAACCTCTGCAAGTCAAATGCCATTGTTTGTCTTTTTTTTTTAGTCCTTGTCTGAATTCCATTGGAAACAATGTACAGTACTGAAAAGCTTCCTAACTTGAAGATTTTCCCCAGCAAAATTGTATGCCTCATATTTTGGGGAGGCACTTTGGTTATTAATTTTTTGACTCAGGAAAGCAAAAAAATAATTTTATTTAGATACACCTATGAACTTGTCATTGTACACAAGGGGTTGAACAAAAGTTCTCAGAATATAAATTTAAATGGCATATAATTGAGCTGAAAAACAATTATTCTTCAGGATAAACATATTCCTTGGCACAAGAAAAAATCAGCCCTGTCTGACACATTTTTCTGAATGTTTTGCAAAAGTCACCCCGGCAATTTCAATTTCTATTCTGAGAACTTTTGTTAGACCCCTCGTACAATACTTAAGGGTATCAGTATTAAGGTGCGATCTCAGTGGAATTTATTTTGGAATTTTAGGAAAATTTTAGGCGTGATCCGAGAGTTTTCAGATTATTATTTTTTTTTTAGTCATCATCATCTGAGAAAATCAAAGATGAATTTTGTAAATCCATTGATTTTCTGTGATTTAGGGAGTTCGAGACGCGTCCAGCTTCTTGCAGTCCTCGTACGGGTCGTTTGGTGGGTCCCTGCCGCCGTTGCAACCCTTTGAACCCCCGATCAGCCAACTAGCACCCGCTTCGATGACCTCGCAACCCGTGGCCCGGCCAGAAATCACACCCGACGACCCCGAAGAGCTCTTCAACGTTGCTCGCATGAAGGGCAAGCGGAAACTGCTCCCATCCAAGTCAAACTCTCACCAACACTGATTATCATTTTTTAAATATTAATTTTAAAACTTTTATCTTGCTTTTTTTGTGGGGGGAATTCCTGGGATCATGTGATGAGTTTAGTTTTCTCAAGACTCGCAAGGGGTGGTGAGTGACAAGTGTGACCTGGTAACCAGGATGTTATTTTTTTTATCCCTAGTCCTTCTTCAATTTTTTTTTTTTTCTCACATGAGGCGAATCTTTTTTTTTCGATGGTCAACAACCCTGAGAAGTTCAGTGTAGTCGGCTCAAGCGTTATTTCGATGGAAATATTCTGGTCGGTTTTTTTTTTTTAGAAAGAAAAAAACTATTCCGACTGTGGTGGTGTTGGTGCGTCAGAAGAACGCAAAAAGTCGACTTGAACATTGGTGTAAAGGAAAAAAAATGTGGGCGTTTTCTTGTGTGTTTCTTGCTGTTGGAAATTCCGTGATTGTGCCAATAATTCGGCGTCTTGATGTTGAGGCTTTTTTGGTGTTTCGTGGAAGATTTCGAAAAGAGCCAGATGTTTTGACGGAAGACCGAAGTAACGGCACTCATCCTTCATTTTTCTTGGGTCTTCACATTTTTTTTTTTTTTTTTCGAAGCCAGTCAAATTTTTTTTTTTTTTTTGTAGATGATGTTTCTGCGGCCGGACTGTGAAATAGGTGAATATTTTAGTTGTAAAGAAAAAAAAAAAGAAAGTGGCGCCCCTCGAGCTTACTTTTCCGTTCTACATTTTCGATGCGTGAAAAACGCAGTCATTTGAATGCACTTTCATGATGAAGTGATCTCTTTCTGAGCAAGATGGTCTTGCGTTTTCCGCGAATGATTGAATTTGTTAAATGTTTTGTGAAATACGAAGGGGGGGGGGGTTTGCTTGTGTCCTCGGTGTCGCCCAGAAGTGAGGTTTCAGTGGTTTCTATTCGTTTTATTGGCATTTGAATTGTATATTTGCGGGGGTTTTTTTTGAAGGTTGAAAGAAGCGGGGGAAGTGGTGAGAATATTCTCGAATTGCCGTCGTTTGAGACTTCAGTGATTAATGTCCGATTCCTTCGTCAATTTCGCAAAAATTATTTTAAATTATCGGTTATTCGAAATATAATTTTAGATTTAAAACGATCGGGATTTTTTGGCAGGAAATTGTGGAATTTTCGAAAATTCGGGTTGAATTTGGATTTAGCTTTCAAGCACCCGTGGTTTTGCTCATCAGAGAACAGAAGCGAAATATTCTGAGTTCACCCTGTTGAACATATTCTGGAAGCAAGTTTTGTATTTTTTTTTGCAAAGAAATTATTGAAGCATGTGCATTATTTTTGGATAAAAGAATAATTGTTTTGCATGGTCAAACGTTGAGAGACCCAAAGATATTTGAGTTGAGGAAAATTGGTGATCGTTTGGGATTTTAATTGTGTAGGAAATGATTTGACGGGATGCTGAACTTGGAGGCTAGGGTTCATTTGCCCAATTACCGTATTTACTTGAGTACCATGCGCACCTTTTTTCCCAAATTTCAGAAGAAAAAAAGGGGTGCGCGTCATAAGCGGGTACAAAATTTTCAAGAAGTTTTAGGAAGTTATGTGTGCATTATACTTAATTATAATGGAGAAATTTGGAACAAATGTAAGAAGAAAACATTTTTGTGCTGAAAAAGTTGAAAATTGATCAGATTTTTGTTCAATTCACGCCTAAAGTCAAATTTTTTGTTTTTATTTTTTAAATTTTATGGTTTTAGATTTACTAAAAATTGGGGCGACTTACTCCAATCTTACTTGGGGATAAGATTTTTGCAAAATTTTCAACTGGAAAACCCCTGTGCATGCCTTACTTGAGGGCGTGTGGTACTCAAGTAAATATGGTAGTAACTCATTTCTTTTTGAAAAAAACAAACATCCATTAGAATGATTAACGAATCAATTTTGATTGTTTTTCTCTTACTTTGATCCCCAAAATGATAAACCAAAGACCAATACAGTTTTCAAATACAGTTTTAAGAAAGGATATCATTTTATTCATGAGTTTTTAATGCATTTTTCTTGAGGGGAAGTGTCCAAAAATTTGACATAGGGATGTTTTAGTCGTCATTTTTTCCAATTTTATGCATAAATTTTGTTTTTTGCGAGGCTGGGAATTATTCGACTGGATTAATTTGCTGTACTGAGTCTCAATTAGCCAAAAATCGACGATGATTGTATGTTTATTCGTGTTCTGGCTGTGTTTTAATCTGTTGTCCTGAAGGGCCACGAAATCTTGTCGCTAGAAACGGACAGAAATGCTGAAATCTCACTGCGAGAAATTCCTGCAGGGAGAGTCTGTGAACATGTGAGAAGTCCCTTGTATCTCCGATGTTACCTTTTTTTTTTTTTGGTGGTTGATTGGTTACAATGCTTGGGAGAGGCAGAAGAATCGAGAGTGTCGAAGAATTTCGTTGAATCTTTTTATTTGTTGTTGCGAAATTGTTTTGCTTTTCTGTGAAAAGATTTTGTGACTGGATTTTATTTGATTTTTTTTAATGCAGGGATGATATTTTATGCGATGGTGGTGAGGGCCCGGGACGGGTTAGTGTTGTGCGATTCGACGGACGTGAAAGAAGCCGTCGACAAGGACATTCGCGATGGGAAACGGTGCATGAAGCTGTTGGCGAGGAAATTGCGTCAATTCGACGACCGTTGTTTGCTTCAAGTTGGCAAACACTCCGTGTGGTGAGCAACTGAGTAGAAGCAACAACAAAAAAATGCTGAAATTTATTTCGGAAAGATTTTCTGCTTTTTGTGTGAATTTTTCTGTTGGAAATCTCTGTGAAACCAGGAACTTTTGACTTGGTCCAATATTGTTATCCAATATTGGTCCAATATTGACTTGGTCCAACATGTTATTGATGAATATGATGTTTTATTTTCAGTCCCTGTATGGATTCCCTTGAACCTTTGTAACTCAAGTTTTGGCTGTTATTCTGGGGGCCCAGGAAAAGAGAAGAGTGATGAAAATGCAACTTGATGCTTTTTGAGATGAAGTGGGCAAATGAACCCTTGCTTCTGAGTTCAGCATCCTTTCATCTCATTTAAGAAGCAATTCAAGGCCCAGAATATCACCAATTAAAATGTCCTGCAATTATTCTTCTTTTCCTGAACAAAAAAAAAAAGCTTGTTTCCCTAACTTGAGACCACAAAAAAATCAAATTTGTTAGTGTTGAGGTTTGACTATTCAAAACCATTTAAGCTCTTTGGATTTAGAAGAGCTCTTTTCACTTTTTCCATGAGTAAGAGAGAAAAAATAGTAATATGTACTGTATTACAAAAAATTTAGTTTCCCTAACTCAAAAATGCCACAAGTCAAATTTTGTTTTTGCATGTCCCTCTAAGTTTGCTTTGAAGAAGTTTGACTGTACAGTGAGACCCCAAGATGCGGACATAATTGGTGCATTGAGAGTGTCCCTTAGTTGAATTTTCCCTAAGATGAGTCTTGTTTTTCCTTAGACTTACATTATATAATTTTTAATTGGTATTTTATGGAAGAAATATTCTTCAGAATCCCCTAAAAATTGTTTGCCACTTGAATTTGAATTAGTAAATACATTTTCAACTCAATAAGAACATTTGGAGCATTGCATAGTGTATCTTTGTACTGGAAATTGAAATGTTGGCATCTATTACAAAAATAACATTCTACTGAAAAAAAGTAGAAGTCCCTCTATTATGCTGGAGGTAATCTTTTTTAAATTACCTAAATGGATGGTAAATTGGTGAGAGAAATGCCAAAGAACTTTTATTACATCAATTTTTAGGGTTGGAAATATCTGTTTCTTGTAATTTGGCCTGAAATGTATTCGCAATATTATACCACTACTTCTTTTCGCGCGAATACAGTAGCTCTACATTCACCACGGACCAGCTGGAAAGTGATCTCAAAGATATCCTCGCGGAAAACACAGCACAATCAATCTTGCTTCACGAAGATGACACAGAATAGGGAAGAAAGTCGACAGAACAAAAAAAAAAAAAAAAAGTGACGACACGAACCTTGAGCAAAGTGATCTGGTCTTCCCGGAGCAACGTGTCGAATCCCGGGAGTCGTTTGGAGAACTCGACAATCAGCTGCACTGTGAGTATCGTCAGCTCGGCTATGTGTCGAAACTTTCCCTGCTCATCATCCGCTTCCACCGAGAATTCCTGTCAAGCGTAGAATAAAATAAACCCATAAATTTATATTTCTAAAAGAAAGAAAAAGACACACACACACACAAAAAGATCAACACACATCCGCTCATAGTTCCATCGTGTGATCGCAGTTCATCCGCAGAGTTCAAGGTCTACCGCCTGCGAATACCTCGGCGCTTCGCACTAACGACGTCTCAAGTACACGTAAAATTTACAAGTTCGTTGAACAGTCAGCTTTCTTTTCATTTGTTTCACAGCGGATTTTGGAAAGACTCGCATTTTCTTCCAACGTTTTCCAATGAACTTTTTTTTCAGGGTCTCTCAAACTTGCATGAAATAAAAATCCAATAACGAATATTAAATCGGTTCACTAAGCACGGATTGCACTTGAAATAAAATCTCAACACGTTTACAGAAACTCGCTTCACTGAGCACCGATTAAAAATCGGAAATTGCGAAGGAACTGCTTCAAGTTTAACAATTGAAAATAAATCGAGCGAATCGTAGAGCCTGACGACGATAAACTCAAGGTATGGTAAGTTATGTTATTTTTCACATAAAAGCATTGAGACTTTATTAAATTTATAATAAATATAATTGGGCCACATTCAGGAACTTCTAGAGTCCCTTTTGTAGAACTGAACTTTTTAACGAACTGCGTCATAAATCGGAGCTTCAAGTGGTTCATGAAGTTTATCAAAGTGAGCAGAAACTGACTAAAAGAAAATCCTCGGCAAATAAAAAGTTGCTTGCATCAAGTCTTTTTTCATCGATCCCAACGTGGCTTTGAGGATTATAACCAGCAAAAAAAGCGAGCCAGGGAGGTTCCGAGTTTTGGAAACAAGCCTTTATGTTAAGGGAAGGAAATAAGAATTGCAGGAAATTGAAATTGGCAAACTTTAAATTGCTCCTTGAATGAGTTGACAGGATGCTGAACTTGGAGGAAGCGGTTTTTTGCCAATTGAGTGTTTCACTACTTTTTGTAAAACAAATCAAGTGATATTTTTATTACTTTTCTCTCTCCTGTGTCAATAAAATAATATTCAAAAGGCCTCAAGAAAATTCAAGTTATCAAGGTTTGAGGGAGAAAGCCTTTGAGATACGGATTTCTCTTATACAGGTACATTGTTTCTAAAGAAATTCAGAGAAGGGCTTTTAAAAAAATCGAAATAAGCTGGCATTCGACTCAATGAGGTTCGAGTAGTCGAGGTTCAGCTGTCTAACACTGTAACAGGACACCCAAAGAGTTTATTCCAATTTTAAGTACTGCCATAATTTTTCAACCATTCCGCGCAAAATATTTACAGTAATGTACAATCGTTTCAGCGGAAACTTCGGAGTCGCAGAGGCGCTCAAGATCTTCAACAAAGAAACAAAAAATGGACGAGAAACCAACTCATAAGCATTTCCCATTGCCATAGCCTTGATCCAATAGTCCAAGTCTCTCAGGCACCCTCCGAAACGAGAACACAAGTCTGGAATGGATTGTCAGAAATGCCTCCGATTCCTCGAGCAAAGTTCCCCCGTATGTAAAGAATAATTGGGCGCGATGGAATCCTCCCGACCCAAGCTTCCCAGACACGCGGTATCACCATTAAAATGCATTTATGGGATCGAAGACTGTCCCAACTCGGTGAACAAAGGCTTTTTTTTCTCATAGTTACTCATTCTCCACACCCTCTTGGCTTTGTCTTATCATTCATGCAGAGAGCGACGCTACAATATCAAAATGAAAATTAAAAAAGAGAGAGACACCGGATTCTTTCGAGCGTCTCTCGCAACGAAGTTTCTAATTCCGTGACAGCTATTATTGGAATATTATTCAAACGGATCTTGTAAAAATAAAAAAAAGGTTTAATCATCTCTGATTAACCGCGCTCGAATCTTTTCTTTCGAAGGAATTATTAAGCTTGGGATTTAGGAAAAAATAAATAAATTGAAGTACTGTAATTATGACATCTACACTACACCAATCTGCGACGGAAAATATACGAAAAGTTCTGAGGTTGAAATACTTGACTTGAAACCAAAAAAATAAAAAATGGCAGCTAAAGAAGCAAAGAAGACAACTTTAAATCTGCTTGCAACATATGTTCCCAAGTCCTGTTTCGACGACTTCACACTGAATACGGATCGAAGTCATAGAAAACATTTCCACGAGGATAAAACAATTCCCGTTTGGGACTTCAAGTCAGGGTCAACGCATTGCTGACTGTCCTCCACCTCGGAAGAATTTTCCCAAGCGACAAAGCAAACCAGACGCGTAACATAACCCGGTCACACAAGGGGAAACCCGCCCCATTGTTCAACTGTCCACCCCAGTAGAATCCAACCCGGGAGAAAAGGAACAGAGACAAAAAATAATAAAAATCGCTCGCAAGAAATGCAAATACGAGGGATGATCCACAAATTTTGAGACTTGCTTCTTCGTCGACATGCACTTGCCTTCACTGAAGACGGTACTGTATGTAATTTTAGTAATACACTGAAATTTAATTTATCCTGGCTCCGATTTACATTTCCTGATTTTCGATTCATTGAAACAAAAATTTTGCATCCTGGTACAGTACTTGGTTATAATTGACGTATGACACACTGAAATTTGCGAGAATGTGAGTGTCATTGATCCCCGTGATTCTTGAACATGTCTTAACCGGTTGGATTGATGTTTTCGACAGTATTCGATCATTTGAGATACAGTACAGTATTTTATTACCCTGACAAGGGCACCAGGTCAGTAATCCGGATAATTAAACTTACACAGCGCTGTATTCGTCTATCAAACAAGGTAGAACTATAAATGAAAAATAAATCCTGTAAAGTGTCCTGTTATTTCAAAACACTGAAGGGCATGTGAAATGAGAAGCAGATGATGTAGCACACGTGTTACATTAATAATGTAGTACAAAAAATAACGATCTTAATCGACAGAAATAAGCGAATATTGAACAAGACTAACATGTATTTGAATGAGGTCACGTAAGCGAAAAGCTCTTCTTAATTGAAGAAACACATGCATCCATAATTGTTTCTCATGTACCTAAATTATGTGTCTAACATTTTGAGAAAATCATCTACGATTCCTTCGTTCATGTCCGCAACTTTTCGACGAATTCATCATTGAAATTTCTGATAAAATCACGAATGAAGCTGCCTCTTCATGAAGGTTTCCGCTGAGGCTCTTAATGCAACAGCTTCACATTTATTCGCTCAATACACTTTCGGATTTCACGTCCGTTAACTGAGACACCAATTTATTTCGAAAAGGCCTCGAAAAAAAAACTTGGCCATCCTCCGCTTCAAAAGCTTCGTCGGTAAGGAGAAGTGAAGACAAAAGCATCAATGAAAATTTATCAATCACGAATTTATCAATGAAATTTCCGATAAAATCACGAATGAAGCTGCCTTTTCATGAAGCTTTTCCGCTGAGGCTCTTGATGCAACAGCTTCACATTTATTCGCTTAATACACTTTCGGATTTCACGTCCATTAACTGAGACACCAATTTATTTTAAAAAGGCCTAAAAAATATATGAATAACTTGTGGGTCATCCCCTGCTTCAAAAGCTTCGTCGGTGAGGAGAAATAAAGACAAAAGCATCAATTAAACTTTGTCAATTTATCGCTCAATACACTTACGGATTCCACGTCCATTAACTGAGACACCGATGTATTTTAAACAGGCCTCGAAAAATAAAATAAAATAAAAATTGTGAGTCATCCCCTGCTTCGAAAAGCTTCGTCGGTGAGGAGAAATGAAGACAACAAAAAAAAAGCATCAACTCACAGGAACGCGTTCGACGTCGTCCTTGGTGGGCTGTTCGAACTCCTCCTGATAGAACACCAGTCGATTGATGAGCTCCTCCTGTTCCGGACTCAGCCTCTTCAGCGCTTGTGCGTCAACCACCTGCGGCTGCTGGAATCCGTCCCAATCACACACGAACGACATTCGAACATGAAAGGAAGAGAAAAAGAAGATAAAAAACCAGCCGCAAGTTAGACCAAAATGCAGCGATCACTGGTCCCGCAAGCCACGATTTCAGATTTATCCCAAAGTCGTGAAATTGAGGTTTCATTTCGAAACGTGTGTAACACCCTGTCCCTTCTCGCATCTTCGCTTTGGGATTATTGGCACAAAGATGGTTTTACACAGCAAATAAATAAAAAAAATGGGTCTTTTACATCAACGAATAAAAAGTTAACTGCCATCTTCGGCGCAAATTTTACAACTCGCATCCCATTTTCCAATCCGCAGTAACGGTATTTTTACCTTCCCAAGAAGTTTCGTGATTCAGGTTATTACCAGTCTTACCAGGACGCCAAATTTCAAGCCTAGACCACCAAGTTTTTAAACTTGAAATGATTATCCGTACACAACGAAAATTATGCATCCCGATGCCGAAATTTTCTTCGCCATCAAATAAATATCGCCTGAATTTCGTTACGCCTTTGTTACGCATACATCTTTCAGGTACATTGGGAATGAAAAAAAAGGGAATTCAATATTCAAAAAATACGAATGGACAGGATCCTTTTAAGCAAACTGCTTGAGATCTGCGCAAACGGACAAAAAAAAAATCGACGCGAAGAAAACATTGCCGTGGACAAAGAGATACCTTTGGTGAACTTTTCATTTATTTATTCATTTAAATATAAAGTATTCTAAGCAAGATCTTCCTCACATGCAAAAGGTGACCTCGTTAACGCCAGGTTATTGATTTCGGGGGCTACATCTGTCTTGACAAGCCAAGTAGCAAATCAGGTCTTGACAGCGAAAATGAGTATAATGAGTGATTTTAGTTTCCGTAACTGTGAGTTATTTTCGGTTCATGCTTAAAAATGGGAGAATTATTAAGCAAAAATATAAATAAAATCTCAAGAGAAAAAAAAGTAATTCAACTTTCCACTTTTATTCGGTCGTCGCAAGAAAGTCGACGCTTTGTCTACGAAAAAGATAAGCACAGTACAGTACAGTACAAAACTCGGTGCCATCAACTAAGACCCTTGTTGATCATTGCAGCTGCAACTCGCGGCATTCGTTCTTCGAAAAATTCACAGTAATGTATTGTATAGAAAAGTTTGCATAAAAAGAAGAAAAAAAAAAGGAAAAGGGGGGAAAAAAGTGAAGCACAACTCACGTCGTCCAGATGGTATTTGGCTTCCGGCGAGCCGCTCGTCGTCGAATTCGGCTTGTCGCGGTCCTTCTGGGCTTTCTTAGCTTCGCGTTTCACAGCACACTGGTACTCAGGAACCACACCTGGAACGCAAACAACCGCAGGATACACGTATTATCATCAGGACCCGGTCCACAGCCGTGAAAAGAAGAACGCATGCACGCTTGGTAACGAATTCCAAACGCGGTCCTCCCTCCGCATTTCAAACAGGCAACTCAGAAAACAAACAAACACACACACACACAAAATAAATAATAATAACCACAGCCAGCTCGTTCCTCAAAACGATGGCTAGGGTTCATTATTGTAAAATTAATGAATCGGTTGTCGGGCACCCGGACTCTATGTAGTGACTGGAGAGTCGAGCGCGTCCCAAAACGCAGTGTCCCAGAAGAGCGCCTGTACAAAACGGCGAAAAACCACAACAGCTCTTGTTCGAAACAGTTCACCCACACATCCAGCACAAAAGTGTTCACTTCATATATTTTAAGCTGAGAGGGCCTCTCCCTGACATATTTTTTTCAAGACGGTAATCTTTAAACGTATAAATTAAGTAACTAAAACGTATTTCCGAAATTGACGAAATTTGCCGACGGCTTCATCTTTTTCAGCAGTCAATTCAAAAGTTTAAAAAATTCTACAGGTGAAAAAAAATTTTGCAATTAGAGAAAAAAAAATCCTGGCCAGGTACACGCGCACGAAATTATCTGCCAGTGGTCAGTGACATACAACAGATCTTTTAAAGATGCAACGATTACGTGTTGACCTAAGACAACTTCCGGAAATCTTGACTCGAGATGTAACTGCGCACTTTTCCTACGGCAGAAGTTTTTTTTTGCTGCCTCATTCCCTCATTTGACGTGAATTGGATACATGTTTAGCCTTTTGATTTGACAATAGATACTTTCACGATGCTGCTCTGTGGCGACATTGTTCTTCATTCGCACATATCAAATTCTAATATTTTTTTCAGTAGAACACGTTCTCTTCTGGCACACGCGGCGTTTTGGCACACGAGCATCTGTCATGGGACCCTCTCAAATCATTCAGCTTGCGCATACGGCTCGGGAGAACAGTTCTAGTTTTGATCCACGATTCACAGATAGCACAGAATTCGTACAACCCCCTCGTGTTTCTTTATTTTTTTGTCGAGTAATAATTAGGCAGTTCGATGTCGAGCCAAAGATGATATCTACCAAAAATAATAGTAAAAAAAAAAACAATCACGAACGGGCAAACAAAAGGGGAGTCAAAAATGGGGAGACTCGTTAATAGGAAGCCCGAACGACATTCGTCAGCCCACCTGACAAGAGCCACTGGGACGCAATTAAACTCGCATCGCCTGATCTGCAAACGAGAAAACCGGGCATGGCTTGAGGAAAAACCTCGAGGAGACGCGGCACTTTGTTCATTAATGGCATTCACAGAAGAAAAAAATAATAAAAACGGATAAAATAAGAGCGAAAAATAAAAAATAAATGGAAGTGAAAATAACTTACATTCCGGCCTCATGCCGACGTTCAAGCACTTCTTCAGCCGGCACTCCTGACATTTCCGTCGCATATACATGTCGATCTCACAGTGGTTCCCGTATTTGCACTGGTAAACGGCGTTCTTGGTTATGCTTCTACGGAAAAATCCTGGAGAAAAAAAAAAGGAAAACAAATGGTTGAGTTTCTTCCGCTTTGAGGACAGTCTGTCAACCAACCAACCAACCAACATATGTTTTTTCTTCTTTTTAAATATTCATGAATTTACGAAGAGAGTACCGACGAAACATCCTCCAAAACCGCTTCCCACGGATTCTCGATTAGGCCTTGAAGTTAACTTTTTTCTATTATTTCATCAAACTTCACTTGTACTTCCTGCTTTCTTGAGTGAGGTCAAGAGGATTACGTTCACCCCTTCAGAATGAGACAAACATTTAATATAAATAAACCCAAGGTTTCAGGAGACATTATTACTCGGTATGAAGGATGAGGACTCGGCTAGAGGACATCACAGCAACTGTTTAAGAATCTACAAGAAAAATGGTTCGGAAGTTTCAGCAGCATTTCAGGAATTAGGATGGAGCTTTTCAAGTACGAGAAACTACCGAGGGATCAATCCGTAGATTGAAACATTCTCTTTCTTTTACCAAATACTATGTTCAATTTATGTCCTTCATTTCGATCACCGAAGAACATTGTCGGGCAATCGTCTCAGTTTGCATTACGAATAGAAAAATAACGAAGATCAGAAGAACGCTCCATTCTACACATTGTCCTGATTATCAGAGACGCCTTTGCTGGGAAATTACCTTATTTTACAGTACTTTAATTACGTGTCCGAAATATTCTGCAGCACTGGAAGACTCCTCGCGAATTCGTAAAATCCGTAAGAATACCTGATCAACCTCAATTTAGGTTCAAACGGGGCACTTCCGACCATTTTTCCGTCAGTGGAACCATGATTTCGTGCATTAGCTGGCATTTTAAAGGACCACGAAGTTCTTACGTCAGTTAATTCCAGAAGTTAGGCATGAAAACACCATTCTCGACATCCTAATTCTCCCCCGAGAACACTTTTCAGGACCACCCTTCAGCCAAAAATAGCACAGTATATTTCCGAGGCATGAGCTTGAATATTGCCGGCAGGGTAAGAATTTTCTTACGATTTTCGTAATCAAAATAATTGCGGCTCCGTGCATCGAAGGTCATTGTCATAGACGTATTCTTTTTTTTTCAAGTACTGAAGTACTGTAGATCACATGAACTTACGTTCCCGGCAGGAAGCATTTTGTTCTCCCGACATTACCCAGCGTAGATACCCAGGTGGGTAAATTTCGAAGCTAAGAGCCTGATAATTTATTCCCACGACATTCATCACGGCTAATTTTCTTCGAGACTCCAAAATGAATGGTCAAAAACATTAAGCGGTGCTCAAGTCTTTCGTCAAATTCTTCGGCCAGATTCACTACTCGTAAATTCGTAGGGGGGGGGAAAACATCTGAGTTTTTCGACACAAGAAAAACCTCAACGTATTAAAAAAAACACTTGCATTTTTTTAAATGGTCCAATGAATGCCTCGTTTCGGCATTCAACAATCTAGGGCATTTTTTCATAGCTTTGAGTGATTTGATCAAGGGAAAGAGTCATTTTGGTTCATCCTCTCAGATAAATCAACTTCGCCTAAAAATATACAGTATCACGAAAAGAGTGAAGTATTCACCCTTTCCTTTTCATTTTCCTGCTCCATTCTGCAACTCAGAGTCATAAAGTAATTTCTTATGGTCTCCTGCGATATTTCTGATAGCCTGAAAAATAGCGTCTTCTTGGGTGATTCCTTGATGCGAACAAAATTTCAAGAGGATCGAATAATTGATACAATGATCACCAAACTAATCCGGTGTTAGCTTCATTCAACATAAAAACGGAAATTTACCGCAGCGGAAGACGGACTCTCCATCTAAAATAAAATCGCTCGACTATTTTTATTTCTATATTTTTTGTGTGTCAAGCATACTTTTGGATGGACCTCGAGGGTTTGATCTCCACCAATTCCATACTTTCAACATGAAAAATATATCCATCACATCCGAATTTTCCCTTGAAAAATTTTTTCTGGACAACCTTTCAGCTACAAATACTGTGGCTCAGAATATGTTTCGGGAAAAGAGCTTGAATATTTCCAGCAGGATTATACAGTAATTGTTTCGTTGTTTGGAGTTCTAAAATACGGGTAGACTTTCTCTACAATGATACCGTCTCGAAAGATTTTCTCCGTATACACGATTTTCGGGGTTCATAGGACAACGAAATTCTCTCATTTTTTTCCTTTCTTCTGAATTTTTTTTAGGAGGACGTCCACCTGTATTCACGTCTCAATACACGGTCCAGGAGTTTTTCTGTCTATAAACTCCTAATGATGAACGCATATAAAATGGAATGACGCACGTGTTCTTGGAAGTAAGTAAGTGTTATAGCCTAGGTTTCCTTGACGCTCTCCAAGGATCCACGGGCTAATTCGTCAGCTAACGAACGTGTATCAGCACCAGGAATTCGGACCATTTCGGTAACGCATGCGGGCAATGAACAAAAACCTCTCACTGGATTCTCCACCAATGCGCAATTATCTACTGCACCATCTACTTTTTCAGGACGCGATGGACGAAGGACAAGTTGGGAAAGAAAGGAAATGAACAACCAAAATATACGTTGAAAAAAAAAAATATTTCCTGACGTTCAAATGAGGAAGGACCGAAAACAAACGACGGAACCGCATTCCAGAAAGCAGAGACGGATTCCCGAGAAAATAAATAAAAAAGAGTAATTTATGATATCCCAGTACCCCCGACACACACACACCTTCGTTAAGTATCAGCGGAAATGGGAAAGTAAACACCGGGTTTCACCCACAAGCCGGGGACTTGAACGCTTTCTTCACAGTGCTTTCATCCAACCATCATTTCCTAAATGTCGCATTTCGCCTTGAGAATAAAATTTCCCACCTTTTTTTTTTTTTTGCAAAATGGGTGAGGAGTAACCTCGCAGCGTTTCTCACGCAGATGGAAAGAAAAAGTGGATAAAAAATTTTCCCCAGCAGTAATTTCACACCCTCTTAAAAGCATTTCCCATTCGACGGGTGGTTATACGAAATACCCGTCTTTACGCGTGTATACCAGACGTTTTTAAATCCCCTGCCTAATTCGGTTGCGGCCTATATACAGTCCAGGTACCCCTTAATAGCAACCCCGTCTTACATACGCGGCCTATTTATTATTATTTAATTTTTATATAAAAAAAAACTAAGCTTCAGAATCATTTGCGATCTTCCGATTTTCACGGAAAGCTCGCCGACAAGTAAGGTAGCAAAATATCAGTACTACATCGGAAATATTAATATTGTTCCTTTATCCGTCACGTTATCGGCAATATAACTTATACGAATGGAGGAGGAAAAACAATTCGGAAGCTGAATTGCGAGCGAAGCTTTTAAATAAGTCCCATCTGCGCATCTTGCGTCTCCCACATCCGGCCAATATAATACGTGAGGCGCAGGCCTCTTCTCCTTTTCCATTTTTAATTTCGTCACGCGCAGCAAAAAAAAAAAAAGGAAAGGGAAAGCAGAATATTTCCACGAAGTTTCGAGACCATAGTCACCACAAGAAATGTCGGCATCATCTCGGGAATAACAGGAAATTGCGCGGTTAATCGAAAGCCAAAGATGACTTCGAATGGCAGAAATTTTAATTCCACTAGTATCTTGATAACATCTTGACAATATTCATACTATCCAGGAATTTATTGGTACTGTAATTTGATGAAAACTAACCCGGATATTTGAACTGTAAATGCACGCGAGAATTTTCAGTCCCCTTTTAAAATAACTAAGCATCCAATAACGCATTTATTTATTCGAATCTAGATCAGTTCAGTGATTCGACCTAAAAGAATGCATTCCAGTCTATTTTAAAAGGCACTGTTACCCGTTTCTACTTGAATACGTATTTTCTTCAACAGAAATATACAACAAAATCAGCGCACATCTTGCATTCGAAGTACAGCACGTGATCGCTTCTGATCTACACTTTTTTCATAAATAAAAATATATTCTAGAATTTAACCCTAAAATCGTTCCGACGATTTCAAGATAGAAGGCGTAATAATTGAAGGTCTGAATGTTTTTGCAAATTAATCTGGAAACCGAAGCATGAGTAGAATACATTGACTCATTCGATTCTGAAGGAATATAATGCGAGGAAAATGCGTGGAATATCGAAAGCCACACGTTTTATTCCACTTTCAAGGTCCATAAAACAGAGTCGTGTCTTAAAATCGAGGAAAATCCAGCAAATTACAGTACAGTACTAAGATCAAGGCGGCAACACGAAAGAACCGAGTCACATCGATGAAAATGGATGCGTTTTTTTCGTGGATCCAGAAACAATAAAAGAGTAAAGTCTGTCTCTCCTTCTCTCAAAGGTCCCAGCGCTCTGCAAAATGTCATCTGAAGAAATCCCGCCGTCACGAGCGAGTCCGTTGCGCAAAATCACGCCGGAAAATATCTCGTCCCCACACCCTCTCAACTATTTTATTTCCTTTTTTCTTCCTCCCTCTCTTTTTTTTTCCTTTTCCATCCCAACGAACGCTCACAAGCCGAAAATTGCTGACAAGCGAAACTCGCCGGAATGAAAGGAACCAAAGAATGAGACTCGAATTCGTTTCTATTCGGCACCTCGGAATTCCGAAACAATTTCATACTTGCTTTTTTTCGTTTCGTTTCTTTTTTTTCTCTTGGTCTTCCGGCCGTCCCTGGCTCTCCAAGCGAGGGTCGCAGAAACAAAAATCGTGACTTCGCCGCAGTCCTCGCCGATGAGAAACGGCTCTGGTTCGGTTCTCTTCCCCCCCAAGCCATGGGATCACGCCTATGGGAAACGTTTCGTGACCACTTGTCATTTCCTCCCTCAGCTCATCTTCAGTCCGTCTCTTACATTCAAGAGGTAGAACACAAGTTTCCGTAGTTCCGCTGGCGTTTTAGAAATATCGAATTTGAAAAATATTATAGAACGACGGGCGGGATTTCTTCCATTTCAAAATCATCAACTCTTCGAGAGAATCAATCAACTGTACTGTATTTTACATACCAACAACAATCAATTGGGTTTGATTATCTTTGGGGATCTTGGCGTCGCCTTTTGAACGAAGTGTCTCGACACATTTTTCGGCATAAGTTGCCTTCTTGAAAAAATAATCATTCAACAGAACCAAAGTATACCGAAATATTCGGAATGAAGCCGTAAAACGGTTTCTGAAATGCTTATTTTTCCAGCGAAATTAATTTTATTCAGAAAATACTTGAATGCGAATACTTCAGCGCTGCAAGAAAATACTGTACCTGCTAAATTGATTCATCCGTTTCAAAAGGTATTCTATGAGACTAAAATTTAGGAAGCTATTACAGACCTACGAAAAGAATGTTGAACAAATCTCTTCAGCTGCCCCAAAGCGGAAACTTATTTACTACCCCTGGTACGAAGTCATGAATGAATAATATCACGCCGCCGCGAAAAAAAAAGGTGGAATCTTCTTCTGCTGAAGAACAATTCGATTCCTCTGTCCATTATCACGAACTCGGCAAAGACTATTAAAAGTTATGATAATCATCTTGACGAAAGGAAAAACTCGGTCTCAGATGAGGATAAGATACTGTATTTGATATATTGATCGGAGTGTGTGAATCAGCGTTGCGAACAGATAAATCCAAGCTTTTCAAAAAAAAAATTACACACACATTTAGCCATTTCTCTAGTCACTTCCCTATCACATTCGGAACTGAATAGCCAGAGAATCCTTCGCATAGACAATACTTCTTGAACCAGTAGATGAAGAAGAAGAAGAAAAAAGCGAGGCATAGAACAACTTACATAAATATGGTAAATCTAAAAAAAAAAACCCTTCTCTACTTCCCAATCAACGCTCGTGGGAAACCCCCCCAAAAAAGGTCACTGAAAAAAAGGTACCTTGCGCACGACCAATTCATCGCGGCTTCGCTTAACTGCTTAGTAAAGATTTCAGAATGAATAATCACCGTCGGTGCTTCATAGCAAGACGCATTCGGTTTGATTGATGTGATTATTCGACGAGCGTGGCCGGCTGGTCGGGCCAATTTAGGCAGCCGACTACTCTTTTATTACTATTATTTTAGAATTTATGCTGATAGCGGGTTTTTTTCTATCTATTTTTTTTTTTAAATCTCAAGTGATTGGTGCCAGAGATTCAGAACTGCAGGTAGTACATACGGAGTGGTGCATT